AAAAACCCCCAGGAAAAAAAACCCTTGGGATTATTTTTATACATTCTCATATTTAACTAGCAATAATTTATATTGAAAAAATATTATTGTTCAGCAACTAGTTAAATGAACAGATATTAAAATGTATTATGACCGTATATAAAGACAAAAAAAAAATTTTAATTTACAAAAATATTTTATTCATAAAAATTATATATGACCGCGGTTAAGAGTATCATTGGTATGATTATTAATATGTTTAATAATTTATATTTATTTTTCCAATTAGGGGATCACATCGTAATTAGAGGATGTTTTTACCATTTGTGTCAAAGTACCCATAGAAAAATTCAGAAGCTGGGTCTGGAAAACGAATACAGGACCGATGATATTAAGTTTTTTTGTGGCATGATAAACAGCTTAGCATTAGTTCCGTTATGTGATATGGGCAATGCAATGACATTCCTGAGATCGGTTACTCCGAGCAATGGTAAGGATATTCTTGATTATTTCGATAAAAATTATGTCAATGGAGTATCAAGGGAGGTCATAAGAAGCAATTCTAAATCCCAAACACGACGAATTGAGATGAAGAACGAACAAATAACCAATGCGAAGGTTGGAATCATCGTTTTTCTAATCTGGTTTAGAATAAACACCCATCTATCTGGGTACTCATTAAAAAAATGAAATGCGAGGTGGCTGCCGATGAAACCAAACTTGAAAGATGGCGCGTAGGTAGTTGGACATCGAAATCAAAATCGCAGAGTTCTAACAACCAGATTCAGCTAAAGAAACTTTGCGAAGAATACCGTGATGGGGTGCGAAGCCTTCCAGATTTTATAAAAGCGATTTCCTTCAATATTCGATGTCAACCCATATAATATTATTATAAATATAAAATTTGTATATACATAATCATGATTTACCAATAAAATAAACATTTCTTATTATGTCAAATTTAGTCTATTTAATATCATATATAAAGATGGTATTGTATTTTTACTATAGCAAAAATTTTTTACAATTCATAGTTATTTTACTGAGGCATTTTTTCCCAGTACCAATTTAAACATCAGTTTTTCTTATTTAAGAATTTTTTTATGAAGAGTAGGCCAAATAAAAATATACCTATATTATTAGGTCTTAAGTGAATTCTATAAAAATGAAAAAAAATTATTGGGGAATTTTTTTCCGGGGGTTTTTTTTCCGGGGTTTTTTCCCGGGATTCTATTTCAACATATGTTCCTCAGGTTGGAAAGTGAAGAAGAGAAAGATATATTTTGGGACAGTCTATTGGGTATGACATCGAGACTGGCAAATGAAGAGGGGATTATCCTGGCTGGTTATCTGAATTAACAGGGAGCGAGTAGTGAAAGTGAGGGTTATGAAGAAGTACATGGAGGATTTAGTTACGGCTTGAGAAATCTGGAAGGGTAAAGGATTTTAGATTTTAGTGATGCTATGGATATAATTGTTTGTAATACAATGTTTAAGAATCAGCGTGGCTGATGACTTATAAGATGGGTAATTCTAAAAGTGCAGTGGATTATTTGTTAGTAAAAAGATGTGATAGGAGCATAGAAAAAAATGTAAAAGTGTAGCGGGAGAGGAATGTATTGACCAGCATCGATAGGAGATCTCACATTTTAAGGCGCCAAAAGAAAGTTTGTGCCAAGACTGAAGGTTTGGAATTTTATGGAGTGATAGACGTAAATCAATATGACATTGGCGCTAAGAGAGGCAGAGGTGGCACAAGTATCTGGGGTAAATGACAAGTGGGAAGTCATGAAAAAAGCCTGGATGAGGACAATTGTTGAGGTATATTGATGAAAAAAAGGCCGCCTAGACATAAGGAGACATGGTGGTGGAATCCGGAGGTAGTGAAAGCTGTGGATGAGAAACGGAGGTGTTTCAAAGAATGGTATTAACGTAAAGAAAATAAACGATATTTATAAGGTGGCGAAAAGAAATGCTAAGAAATTGATAGCCAAAGTGCAAGAATAAAAAATGCAGAAATGGAATTCGCGGAAGAAATGGGAAATGTGGCAGAATGGTAAAAAGGAGGCAAAATGTGGTAAGTGTTAAATGTTTGAAAAATATGAAAGGAAAAATGGTTATTGATAGTTGTGGTATTATAAACACCTGAAAGATCTAAATGGAAAGACTTTTGAAAAAAGAGAATGAATGGGATAATGATGTTAGTTGTGCAAAGGTAAAAGATCCTGGGTATAAATTAGGCAAAGACGAAATTAAGAGAGGAATAAAAAAAATGAAAAAAGAAGGCAGCGCGTTTAACAAGGGAGTCAGAGATGTTTAATGGTTCTGATGATCTAGAGATTAAATAGTTAATGAATTTAGCCAAACAAATTGTCACAGAAGGAACTATTCCTGAGGATTTGCGAAGTATAATAATTCCAGTATACAAGAGGAAAGGTGATCCTATAGATAGTGGGTCTTAGAGAGCTATTACACTATTAGAACATGCAATGAAAGTATTTGAAAGGGTGTTTGATAAGCGGATAAGGAAACAAACTAAAATTTATAAGCAATTATTACATCAGGGAAAGGCACGACAAATGATTTTTGTGGTGAGACAAATACAGGAGTAGTATCTTACGAAAAAAAAATTAGATATGCGTTTTTTGATTTGGAAAAATCATTTGATAGGGTGTCACACGTGGTTACTAGAAAATCAGGTGTGGAAGAATGTTTGGCTAGTGGAAGCAATTGCCGTACAGACGGATGATGGAGATAGTGAAAGCTTTGAAGTGAAGGTAGACTTCATCAATGAGTGCTGAGTCCATTATTATTTATCAATGGATTAGATGGCTAGAGAAATGCGTGAAGGACTTTGCTGGGAGCTATTATATGGCGATGACCCAGTATTAATGGCAAACAGTGAAGAAGAATTTAGGGATAAAATTAGTAGATGGAAGTAAAGGCTTGAAAATGAATGTAGGTGATGAATGGTGGAGATATTCTGAAGATGAAGGAATTCAGCAACTGGCCCTATAGTATATGTGGGAAAGGAGTTACTAGAAATTCAATTAAATGCACCAGATGCCAAAAATGGGTAAGTAATAGATATAGCGAGAAAAAATGAAGTCTGATGTTAGCAAGATGACCTTTATTTGAAGAACGTGCATAAAAGAGGTACATAATATTTATAAGGTAGAAAATAGTGGTTTGGATATTGGCAATGGTTTAACCCTGGGAAAAGTGGATAAGTTTTTTTATTTGGGTTATATGCTAAACGCAGATGGTGGTGCATATTCTGCTGTTGTTGCAAGGGTCAGACAAGTATGGAAGAAGTTCAGACATCTATTCAAAATAATAAAAAAATCTCTCTGAAGTTAAGGAGGAAAGTTTAAGTAAGCTATGTGAGGAGTTGTTTAATTATGGCGGCAAAACATTGCAATGAATCTGGCCCACGAAGTTAAATAGGAAAGAATAGAGATGAGGATGATTAGATGGATGTGTGGGGTATTCTGAGAGAGAAAAACTAGCAAGGAATTGCTAGCAATATTAGGTATAGAAATAATTGGAGTGTATTGATGCTCAGGACCTTCAAAAATGGAAAAGAAAAATCAGAGGGAAAACTGGCCCTGGAAATCGACGGAGAAGAATATATACCAAATTTGAAAAAAATTTATAAATTGTTTAATTTACGATTTTTTAAAAATAAAATATATTTATAAAAATTAATTAGATATAACTATATTTTGTTAATCCTTAAAAGTCCGAGTTTTGAAATAGCCTAAAAGGCACTCTTTGGATATCATGATTACTTTTCCTTTAAGATAAAAAAAATGCTTATACCATCGTTATCCTTTAAATTCCCCTCATTGAGTTCTTTAATTAGATTCAACAATTAGATGTTTAACTTATATATTATATACAAGTTTAAGATGCTTAAAATATGACAAACTAGACTAATATAGTAAAAACTGATTTAGTGAACTGAATTGTTATAACCTGCCATATAACCTTTAATTTCATAGGCTATAAAAAGTTTGAAAATGGGAGAAGCAAATTTGATTTAGGGGCTGAAGTTGAATGATTAATTTTCAAAAATAGGCACTTTTAAAACACTTCAAAAAAGGTACATCAGACGACACATCTAAAATGCGAGAAATAATCAATATCGATAATGAACACATTGATATAATTAGAATTTTATTACTGAACATTCAGCTGTTTAGCCGGCTATTTAGCTTCAATTAAAGAGCCTAAAAAGTAAAATTAAAAAAATTTTTTAAAAAACTAAATGAAAATAAACTTAAAAAAATACAAAAAATAACATCCTCTTTTGCAAATAAAAGGGAGAGGGGGATAAATGTTTCAACAATCATTTTTTAGCTTTTAATGATTATATGGTAAGCCTGTGATTACATAGAGGGTACACGCACTATATTCGCTTTTTAAATATGCGTTATTACCATATAATTTAGTTTTTGTCAAAATACAAATTTTCAAACTAAATCATGGTTTTTTAAAGGGTCGCCGTATTAGTTTTGCCCTGGGTTGCCATGAGTTTCGGCACGGTGCTGATATGATACTTGGGATTTTTAGGACATAGTCATATGGGGGATTTCGACTTGGGAATGCACGTTTCGGTAAATATCATTAATAAAAAATATTTCCTACATTCCTTTGCCAACCTCTCCCAAAAAATAAATACATGTTATTACTAGCGGAGTTTTGAACCAAGTCTATTTATTTAATTCCTTAACCCAACCTGAACCTTTATAATTTTTTCTTACTGGAGCGAACCTATTTATCAAAAGGTTTAACACTCTGAAAAAAGTACGTTAACAATTTTAATAAATAATGATTTTTAAAAAATGTTATCCGGCCAAAGACCTTCTAATAAGCTTGTTAGGAGGGCTAAAAAAAGCCTAAAAAGTGCTACCAATTATTGACTACCATGAACATGAATTGAAGATAAAGTATTCATAAATCATACAAGTTAATATAGTATATGAAGCCTATAATGCAAATTTAAAAAAGATTATAACCTCTATAAGTATCAAGCATTTAGCCCTATATTTCGACGGTAGAAATTCGGAGTACAATGTTATCCTAATTTTTTTTATAGAAATATATTGTATATCGATAATTTTTAGTCTTTAAATTGGGTATATAAAATTTAAAATACCTAGTGTGCTTTCATTCTTATTAATAAATGGCAAAATATCGATTATAACTAGATCTGTGCGCCTATACCTCAATGATGCGGTATTTTAAAATAAATTTATCGCCGTTCGGCGGTGCGTCGATTTTGCCATATTCAGATTTAATAAAATTATATTGTCAGTATTTTATCAAGATTCGTGGGACATAAAGAAGTCCTTTTTGTATTGAGCATTAATCCAGCGATGGAAAAGATTTTTCGATGGGTGTACTAGCTGCAGGTAAAAAAAAACCTTCCTAACTAAATTAACAAGCCTAGGAAGTTTAGGTAGCTTTTTTCCAAAATATTAGTGCATTCTCTTGTATACTATATTACCTGAGTAAAATATGGCATTCTTGCTCTAGATTGCTAACGTTGTTATAATCATTGCTTGGAAGGGAATGTTTACGAGCTATTTTAGCTATATATGAACTGGATATTTACCCATTTTCTTCAACTTGAATCTCATTCTGAGCATTTCTATCATACTATAAAAGTTGTAAATTTCTAATTAAAAATTGCAATGATGCCGTAGAATTCGAATTTAAATATTCAAATAATTTTATGATTATAGTGTTGCTATAGAATTTTTAAAATATGTTTTTATTAATAAAAATATTATAATTACTTGAAGTTCGATAATTGGAAACGTATTGTAAAGCTTTTTTGCATATTTTCTTTTAGACAAATTAAATCGGAGTAATCAGATTTATTAATTTGCATGTGTGTTTCTATTTCACACGAAATAATAATCCTAAATTTATTGTTGATTTCTTTTGGGAAGAAAGAAATTCAACTGACATTCTAAGTGGATTAATAATGTGTAAAGTTAGTTAACTAGATTCCGTTAGTAAAAAGTTTCAAATATTGTTATCCTATCCTATTTTATTTATAAAATATTTATAGGAGTCTTGTTACTACTTCAGATACTTTTTAGCATAATATGCTGTACCAGTGGGTATGGCAATTTAATTTTAAGATTTTCGTATTAATTAGGCATGTTGGTGCAATGCAATTTTCCCAGATATATCAAAATGTTCACAAAGGTATGGATCAGAATCATCAATATCCAATATGGCTTGTCTCATAAATTGATTTTAAGCATTTACAAAACCTCAATTTCACATTCCAAATCGGATACTAAATATCTGAGGGCTGAAATGACTCCTCTAATTTTTTTTTAATCAGAATATTAATTTTTGAAAAATTTTTTTTGCCATCAACTGTAGCTAAATTATGAAGACCATGCTCTAAGCATAAATTATGTAATAATCTCCCAATCTGACGCTTCCTTTGACATTTGTCCCAGCATGAGTTACCATCTATATTAATTTGTTTTTAAGTGGAATTCCTCTTCTATGATATCAGATAATATGGTTTAACCATAATGCTTTTGCGTGACGTTTCAAGTTGCCAGTGTAAAATATTTCAGATATAAATTTTCATTTAAATGAAGAGTAAACGTGATATAATTATAAAAATTCACACGCTGCGCCCCTATCGTCCCGTAGTATCTAATTAGGATTATGTTTATGCCTTTGGTCGCCTTACGAAAAGGTGAAAAAAGGTGATTATCATTTACGGCCTATTTTAATTAAATTTACAAGCTAATTACCATTTTTCAATAATCAAACCAGCATATTACTTTGAGTTTATATAAGTATAAGGTAAAAAAAAAATTTAAATCTATTAATTAAATATGACATGCAGATATTTTATGCTATTCTAATTACACAATTATTATATTTATATAGTAAATAAAGGTGCACATTTTATTATAAATCAAAAGGGTCATATCCTACCCAGACCAAATCTGATATGAATGATTATGATATTTTATTTTCTATTATAAAATTATAGTGGATCAACTTGCCCATATATATAGACCCTCAATACTCTATTCAGTCATAATATAATAGAAACATTATCAACACCATCTTGTCAGTTTATAAATTTTAAAAATACTTAGCTTAAAATTTTATTTTTTGGTATTGGTCTGATAAAAATTGCAAATTAAGAAAACCAGCAAAAAATATGTTTTGCTTCCTTTTTATTAAAATAAATAAAATTTAAATTTGGGACAAAACAATTAGAATTGAAAAAAAATGAGCTATGGTTGACCTTAAAAAAATTAGGCTGATTGGTTAAATTATTTTTTATTAACATATTATGAAATTCAAAATTTATTACAAATCTGTTTATATTTTATTGGCACATAAAATTTATTTACATTTATGGGTAAAAATTTGTAACTATATATGTTGCATTGTTTAAAAATAAAGTTGAAGGAAATTATATTAATATTTTAAATTCTCTCACTTCAAACTTTAGGGGCCATATTGCTCGCCATTTTAGCTTATTTGTCCTTTTGATATTTTTTAATATTCTATAGAGTGGACCCAAATCGCTGCACCGCCGACATATAAGAAATCGGCAGCGAGTCTGACCGCGCCGCTTATCTTAATCGGCGGCTTTTTCGGCGTGAAGAAAATTGAAGCGGCATGCAGGTCTAATTATTACCATTAGTTTTAACGTTAAAGAGATTTTTTTTTATTTGAATTTGGTGTGAATTTTAGCGTAAAATTTATCATAAAATATGATGTACTAGAGATGCATTGAACGACCATAGACTATTAATAATGGAAATGTTATAATATCTTGAATTGAGTAATGCAGTGATTTAATAAATATTTAGAGTTATCATTTTTTAAATAATCCCGAACTTATTTAAATTATATTTTTTCCCTATAAATTTGCTTAAAGAAAATTTATGGCATCAATTATCTCAAAATATATGTGGATAGAATATAATAGAGTAGTCAAAAATTATATAAATATATATTAAAAAATTAATGTAACGATTGGGGAGCGCCTCCAATACCGAAACCAGTAAGACCTCGCAAGAGTATGAGCCATAAGAACGTGGGCGAGAATGAGCTCAAAAATCCAAAATAAAAGGTGAACAACGAACACATAAGAAGAGCCTAAAATTGATTTAAAAAGGATGTGATAAATAAAGATTTCTTATAAAAGATTACAATCCGCTAAATTATTAAATACAGAGTTAACGGTATTTTTTAAAGGGAGATTACTCCCGCTCTGGAGTTTCTAAAAAGAGCAACCTCCCACACCAAATTAAAAATGATTTTAATTTATTTTTATATTTTATTCAAAGAGAAGGGTGCACCAAAAAATTATATTCTTTTATTTGATCTTAACAGAAGCGAATTTTCTAAATTTAAATTTGATAACAACTAATCCTCTCCCCCAGGCGCGTAACCATAGGGGTAAGGAGGAAATCCCTCCCCATTACAAAATTGTCTTCTAGTAAATATCGTTTCTAGTTAATAGACATTTTTTCCCCTGCAAAAAATTTGAAAGAAAAATTAGTAATAACTTTTTAAAATAAAAACTATGATTCAAAATTTTTAGAAAAAAAACATTTTAAAAAAAGTAAAAACCAAAAATTTTTTTATAAGAATCTAATAGCGCCAAAGGCCCACAATAAGTGGACCTAAATATCTTCAATAAAATATATGAGGAAAACCCCACCCTTAGCATAATCCTATATACGCCTTGCTCTCCCCTAAACCTTGGTTAGTAATACTAAATAAGTCTTCAACAGGAGCACGAAAAGGAAGAGGGGTATTATATTGAGAGAAATCGCTCCACCTCCGTAGAAAGAATTTTTGAAAAATATCTATACAAATAAAGAAACCAATGACCAGTTTATAAAAAAGGGCTTTATGAATTGTTAATTGCAAAGCATTCAATTTCAAGTAGGTTATATCCTACTAAATATTAGCAAAATTAAAATTAATTTTAATATTTATTTCTTGTACATTAATATTTTATCTCACGAAAATAAAGTTTGGTTTTTTTTACATTTTTTTAAACCTTAAACAGTATATAAGAAAATTTTAAATATTATGAAAACTTGAAATGTTCAGATATACAAATAGACAGAATTTTCTGAATATAATATTTCGGAGACTTCTTGTGCTACAAAAAAGACACCGCAAAAGCCCGCACAAGATGAATCTTCGACATCTAGCTGTTACAGCATTTTTTTAGAAGAGCTTATTTTGTATGCCCTTGGAAAAATATCAGAATCACCTGAATCAGATATTTCACCTGAAGCGAATACATTATTAGATTTAATATAACTGCCGATAAAGTATTTACTAAACAATTTTATGCAATATTTTACAAAAAAATGGATATGGCTGAAGTTATGAGAATCATGCTATTATTATATTACAAGTTATTAAATAACGACCAGGAATTTCTTGAGATTTATGTAATTGTTAAGGTTAAAGCGAAATTATGATTGTGAGATTCACAAGCCTCGACTTTCATCGACCAACAAATCGTTTAAATACTAACGTGGACTCAATTGAAGATTATTATAAAATAACCGTTTTTATTCCAATTTTGGATTTAATTTTGACTTAAATCAATGATCGAGTTTTGATTTATCAAATGGCTCTACTCAATTTACAAATACTAAATCTTATAACTCCCTCTTATCTGAGGATATATCAAATTTTGATATAGAAAATTTAAATAGTATGAAAGATACACTTTGTATAGATAATTTCCAAGAAAAGTGGAAGCATTGCTTACTTTAAAATATATTTTATAAGTTTTCCAAATATATTAAAATTACTGTATATTTTGACAATGATAAAGTACAAATGAGAGGACCTTTTCTTCATTACAAGAATAAAAACTTATAACAAAAATACAGCATCTTAAAATTGATTGAATAAACTAGCTTTACTCATAAGATCTAATCTCCAACACAAAACAAATTATTAAAAATTGGCGCAATAGCGAAGAAGACTAAATTTTCATTTATGAAATTTTGATTAACTATTTAAATCATTATAAAATGTTTAATTTTATATTTTATTGTGATTTACAAGGAGCTTATATAGCTATATTATTTTATCATATTCGCTCTTATATTTTGAATTTTCCAATATTTTATTATTTGTGTTCGAAATTATCATATTTTCAAATATGATTGTTTTAAATTCTATGATTCGTTCTAATAAAATTTTTAATTCTCCAAAAAATGATTGCAATATTAAAAAATTATCCCCCCCCCGCCGTAGAAAATTACTGGCTACGCGCCTGAATCTTCTATATTATTGGAAGGCATTTTTGGTGTTATAGTATGTATATTTGTGTTTGGAATTTGTTTCCTTATAAAAATAATCAATTTTTGTTTAGTTCTATATTTAGATCCCTTTTTATCCATTCCCAATTTAATATAAATGCAGGATGAATATCGACAGTAATAATATTATCACCATTATAAACACTTGATAACTAACTGCAATAAAGCAATTTAATATATATAATTTATTTTTATAAAATTATAAAAATTTTAATTCCTAGTATAAAAGAATGTATAAGAGGTTGGCAAAATTCTAAATCTGAAAAATCATTTAATTTTAAAATGTGTCTAGAAATAGTTGGAATTAAAAAATCCATATCTATAGGAAGCTCACCCTCAAGGATCTTTATTTGCCAAAATCTCCATAACCTAAAATTTATTAATTTCGAATAATTAACAATTATATTGATATATAAGTTCCTGAGAGTTAAAGCGCATAAGTCCAATATTATCACAAAAATGATCAAGTTCTTGCAATTTTTCGCTAAATATTTTGCCTAAAAATGTCATAGATTAATAACATAAATTCCATCTTGTGGTATTTGAGCATATCAATATCTTCCCAATTTTTTAATATATTATTGACCATATTTTGTTTATTCCACAACTGACACTTTTGAAATGAGCTATGGATAATTTTAAAGCGGCCACTAAGATAATATTGTGGCAGGCACATCTTGATGCTGTGGTAGAAAATCATAACTTTCTCAAATGTTTTTCAAATTAAAGGAGTTAACTTTTGAAAAATTATTTCGATTATAAGCATTTGGCTCTTTAATTCGTTTCATTAATATTATTTAGTTTCACCTCTTTTAGAAGAGAAAAATATTTACTGTAGAATTGTATTATTTAATCCAATCAGTATCTTCTACATCTGATAACAACACTATATCGTCTTCCATGTTTTATGATTTAAAAAGCAAATAAAAAAATAAATGTAAATAACAATTCACCTCAACATTATATATAGCAGAGACCTGCAGGCCGGGCCCTAAGCCCGGTACGGGTACCAGGGCCGGGCCGTATTTTAAAATTTTAAAATATACCCAGGCTGGGCCTGAAATTTTTAAAAAACCCCGGGCCGGGCCGCTTGAAAATTTTTTTTAAAAATACCCGGGCAGGGCCGGGCCGTATTTTTTTAAAAAATTTATACAACATGAATTATTATATTCGTCAATTAGATATAATTATAATGATTATATATAGTTATGATTAATATAATGTTTGATGAAAGTTAACACTAGTTAACACTCATAGTATCTATTACATAATAAAATTATAGTTTTCCTGCCATGGAATAAATACGCAAAGGATTAAATACATTATTAAATAATATATAATATATATGTTATATTTTTTATTAAAAATATCATTTTTATTTTTTTTATAAATACATAGTATTTGTAATATATTAAATATCTGTTTAGAATTAAAAAAAAATAAATTAGTGTTGTTAAACGGCTCGTTTTGAGCCGATTTTTAAAAACGGCTAACTAAGTTTTTTATCCAGAAAAATATTATGAAAGCCTGAAAATTTTGCTCATAGAAGGAGCAAAGGTCTAGACATATAGTAACGAAATTTCGAGGCTTAGTCAATATTTTTCTGGCAAAAATATTGAGTTAGCCGTTTTTAAAAATCGGCTCAAAACGAGCCGTTTAACAACATTAGCTAATATATTTGCTTATTAAATGTAATAATCGCCGAAAAATATGATAAAATACGAATTAATGAATTTTTTGAATATACCAGGTCGAATATAATTTTTATAAATTCCGAGCCGGGCCTAAAAAAAATTTTTTTTAAATCTAGGCCGGGCCGGGCCCCAAAAAATTTTTAAATATTCGGGCCGAGCCTTAAATTTTTAAGCCCGGGCCGGGCCGTAAAAAATTTTTGGGAAAAAAATCCGGGCCGGGCCGAAAATTTTTTAATCTGGGCCGGGCCGTACAAATGGTACCTCTGCAGGTCTCTGATATATAGTTTCAAAATTTAAATAAATAAATATTATTTTTATTGTATTAATATAACAAAACAAATATATTTAATATTAGGATTATTTTTTGAACAATTTTTACAATAAAATTAAAGGATGAAATATAAAGGCGCTCGAGGATGTAGCTGTTCCTACTCTGTTTGGATATAATGTGTAAAAATGTAAATTTTTTTTAATTGAAAATTTTTTGCCAGTTAATATAATCTTGAATATAAATAAAAAAATTAAGATTTAAATAATTTAACCCATAACCCAAGTATGGTTAAAAAATCGAGATAATAATTTTAATTATTATTATTTCTAACCCCTATTAGAAACAAAAGTTTGTTTCATAAGCCTTTGATTTATTTAAAAAAATCGAGTTGGTTCATTTATAAACTAGCTCAGATTAAGATCGATGACAGGTTTCAATTTTTGAAAGTCATCGGTTGAGTTTTTACAAATTAACCTAATTATCAAAATAATAATTAACCTCTTCTCTTCTTATATCAAAATCAATTTATCGATTTTTTATTTTCCCTTTCTTTATTTAATTATTATTTGATTTTATATTTGAAAATAAAAGGTTTGATGTCGTAAATTAAAATATTTGCGAAATCCATTTATAAAGAAATGAAATATTATATACATATAATTTTTTTGTAGGCTCAATTTAAAAAAGCTTTTGTAATTTAAATAAAATATTATCAATATTTTAAAGAAAATAACCGTCTTTCTGCCGAACCGATCGCAGATTTTTCCCCAAAACGTAGAGCTCATCATCATACCCACAAATACCGCCTGAATATATAAAAATTATTTAAAAATATATCAGATGATATGTATGTAAAGACCTTAAAAATTTCGAATTGATACTAAGTCATAATTTATAAATATCCATTTTAAGTTGGAAAAATAAAATACTCAATTTAAAATAACGCTTAATAATTTAACAAAAACTTATTTTGCCATCTAGGAATGTGTTAATGATTAAAATCCATTCATATTTTGTGACCTTTTGTAATGTTTCTCATTCACGATCAAGAATATAATTTTTATATAAATATTAGGGAAAATAGATTATTTCTACATTGCACGAGTTACAAATTTGACGAAAACAGAGAGGCGACTTATGATTTTAAATTTGGCTACCATTCACATTAAGTTAAAAGATATTCTATAAGTTAAAATGATACTAAATTTTATGTCACTTATATATATAGAGTATCGGTAAGGGGCTAAAATATTGATAAAATACAATAAAAATTACGGTAAAAGAATTGCGGCCAATGTTTCATAAAAAATTATAAAACTAATTTAGAAACATTATTTTAAACATATTTTTTAAAGCTTATACACTCCAATACTTATACATCATGAAAAGTTTTAAAGGTTCGATATTTTAACATTTTATATTCATGATATTTAAATAAAAAATTGACAGGGGGTGAAAATCAAAATACTAAATAACAAGTTAATGGCAAAATTTTATGGATTTGAAAACTAATCTTTAATGAGAGAATGCCAGATAAAAAGAATAAGCAAATATGAAAAAGAAACTTTTATTAATTATAGTGTGAAATTAAATGAGATTTAATTTAAATTAAACTTACAGTTGTAATGAGGGCCCTTTGCCAGGCCAAAAGCCCCCATGAACAATGCAGGGCGGGTGATAAAATACTCAAAATCATCATCTCCATGGCATCTGACATCTATGAAAAACAAGAAAAAGTTATAACTTGAGTTAGAAAGAATATTAACTAAACAAATCATTGTTTATTATTGTTATTTTATCATTACTATTTTGTAATATTTTGTAGCTAGTTACTTTGTATGAAAAAGTAATTGTATAAAAAAGGAAACTTTCGCCTATTTTAACTAAAAAAGTAACATACTATATGTCTTAGTATGTAAAAAAATAGATATATATATATATATATATACATATATAGATAAGCTCCAAATGTCAATCAGATGGATTGTAGACATCTGATTGGTAAAAAAGAATTATTATTATGTAATGTAAAAAGATAATAATTATTATAATAATATATTTTTTTAAAAATATATATTTTTGTAAAATTAATTCATTGAAAAATTTTTGTTAAATTTATAAAAAAAGAAGAAATAATAATTATATAATTTTATGAAATAAAGAAATTTTGAATAATTTAAATAGTATTTTGTTATACTTATTCTATCGTTTAATACAATTCAATATCAACTATGGGTATGCAGTTTACACTTAAAAAGTGTTGACCGTTCTCCCAGGATTCGAACCTGGAAATTCAAGGGTATTCATTATTTTAAGGTAAAAAAATAAAACTTTTTTTTATTTTACATATTATAGGTTACCTTAGGACACAACGCAATAATAACGTTTTTGTGGTTTAAATTTTTTTTTTGTGAATTTTAATTAACAAAGTAGTTTGGAAAAATATTTTTTCTTTTTGTAATAACGTAATTTTAAAGTAGAAATTTGTAATATGCGATGGTTGTGTATTTCGATAAGTATTCTGAGCCTACTTTTATTAATAAAATTGCCATCTTTAAGGATATGGGTTATAAAATCTTGTATCAGAACCTTAATGAATTGGATATAGGTCATCACTTAGTTACATTAGGATTAATAATAATTCTATATTCAATATATATACTTTTGAAATTTTTATGTGGAAAATGTACTTTGGTTGCGACCAAGGTATATGGTAATTGGAAAAAGGACACTCTGGTGTCTGTTAATTGTTTTAAAAGAATTTCGGACTTGGAAAGTAGTTTAAATGAAATTTTAAATGAAATCAAGAACGGCAAACCAGGAATGGTTGAAACGATGAAAGATAATATTGATGATCGTTTGGAATTTATGGAGAGATCAGTGGTTATCCTCCAGGAATTAAAAGATATAAAAGAATCTATTAAAGATATTTATAGTGATGTATCCAGGTTGATTAGTATGAATAATCAAGGGGATAAGAAACAATTCGGTGATAGAATTATTTCGAATGGAAAGAGTTTTCCAAAAATTATTGCGGACATAATTTGTAATCGGTGCGGTTACAAGGGTCATTAAGCCAAAACCTGTATTGTAAAGGAACAGAATTTTAGAATGGGTTTTCCATTGCAAAAATCTAGTGGAGAAAATTCCAACGTAAGAAAGATTTCAGGCCTAGATGTAAATAAAGTTGATTCGTTGAAATCGGATTTGGATGGGTCTCGTTTATGTTTTAAATGTAAAGAGACGGGACATATAGCTATAAATTGTGCTTTACACTGACTATATGATAGCTAATGTAATCATATAGCAGTTGGAATACAGGGAAATAAAAATTTTAAGAAAGTATATTATAATAGAAAGAGATGGGATTCTCGTAATTTTAATGGTTTTAATGAAAATGTTTGTTATCATGAAGATAAAGTTAAAACGGATTATAGTTTTAATGTGAATATAATGAAAAATAATGCTTTTAAATGGGAAAGATTTCCTGGGAGCATTGTGAAATATACAAATAGAAAAAATGTTGATAATTTTAAATGGGAAAGATTTCCTGGGAGCATTGTGAAATATACAAATAGAAAAAATGTTGATAATTTTAAGTGGGAGAAATATCCTCGGGATATTATGAAAAAATATAGTTATATTAGTAAAAAGCCTCGAAATTCTGAGTTGAATTTAGGAGGAAATTTAAATTTTAATGAAATGCATATTTCAGAGGGAATATATAGCGATCAGCCCCTTAAAACTTGTGAAATTTTAAGGACTGATGGAATAAATAGACTGGGTCAATGTCCTAGGGTTAACTTGAGAATTGACTGCAGGTATATTGATATGCTATTTGACACTGGTGCGAGCATTTCGATAATGTCTTGTGAAAATTTTTATAAATATTGGCCTAATGGCGTGATTATTAAAGAAAATATGTGTTTAAAACAGTTCGATGGTTCTGAAATTGAGGTTTTGGGTAAAACTCAATGGTATGTGGTTTTTAATGATACTATCATAAGTTTAGATTTATGGATAGTGGGAAAAGCAGTGGAAACCATTATGGGGTGGGATTGGATTACCACAATTGGACCGTATAATAATTATTGGAATTTATTTATTATTGATAGCGGATTTGATAAAGGAGATTTAATGGCGGATAATATCCGAGATGAACTTCAGAAAGAAGGGATATCTAAATTATTGAACGATGAAAATAGGATTGTCGGTAATAATAATTTTATTGAAACTCCTGAAAGGGTAGGGATCAGTTCTGATCATACGGAAATAAATGGTAAAATTGATAGGGATCAATTTATGGAAATTGAAATCGATGGATTAAAAAAGATCGATCTGGCTATACCTGTTTTGGTTAGAAAATATGGTATAATTTTTGAAGAAAAATTAGGACGTTTAAATGATTATCATGTAGACGTTAAACTTAAAGAGGGTTTTTCACCCATCTTTTTGGCTTGTCGAAGAGTTCCTTTTGAGTGGAAAAGGGAAATCGATGAAGAATTGAATCAATGGGTTAGAGATGGCATCATTATTCCTGTGGAATATAGTGAGTGGGCCACACCATTGGTACCTGTTAGAAAATCGAATGGAAAGTTAAGGCTATGTGCTGATTTCCGTGTAACGTTAAATAGATGGGTAGTGGAGGTAAAATATCCATTGCCTAGGATTGAGGAAATTTTGGCCAGTTTAAAAGTGCCAAGTATTTTTCCAAGGTTGATTTTTCTTCGGCTTATTTGCAATTGCCTTTGAAAGAAGAAATTCATAAATTATTTACAATAACGACTCCGAAAGGATTATTTGCCTTTTGTAGGCTACCGTTTGGATTAAGTGTGTCAGCGCCGATATTTCAGCGCACTATGGCATCAGTTTTCCAGGGCCTAGAAAGAGTTTATTATTATATGGATGATGTGTTGGTGACTGGTATAACACCAGAGCAACATAATCAACGTTTGGAAGAGGTTTTCAAGCGGATTCGTGATAAAGGTCTGAGGGCCAGCAAGGAAAAGAGTGTTCTTGGGGTAACGGAAGTTATCTAAGGACATCGCATAAATGGAATGGAGGTGAAACCTCTGGAAAAAAATTTAAAAAATATAACGAATATGAATCCGCCAACCAATAAAGCGGAGTTGCAATCATTTTTGGGAATGGTAAATTATTATCATCGTTTTGTGGAAGATTTTGCAAAATTGGCATCTCCATTGTATGGTTTATTAAAGAAAGGTGTTCATTTTGTGTGGAAAATTGAACAGAAAAATGCTTTTGATATTTTAAAAGGAAAAATTGGTGAGGAACCGATTTTGGTATGTTTTAATAATGATTTAGAGATCATATTGGCAGTTGATGCATCAAACAAGGGGGTTGGAGGTGCATTGTTACATTTAATGGATGGTGTGGAAAGACCCATCATATTTTTTTCGAGAGTTTTCAGGGAAGTGGAAACTAGACATTCGGTTATTGAACAAGAAGCCCTAGCGGTTATCTTTGGATTAACCAAATGTCAGGAATATTTGATCGGTAAAAGATTTATAATTTACACGGATCATAAGCCGTTAATTCATTTATTTAAAAAAGATAATAAGGAGTTAATGCTGTCTCCCCGGTTGCAACGTTGGTTGTTACTGGTGGGAAGTTTTAATGTGGAAATCAGATATCGCAGGGGCAAGGAAAATTGTTTGCCTGATATTTTATCTAAGTTAGGATCCAGTGAAGGGGATCTTGACGGTAACAAAAGTATAATGGTGAATGAAGACAGGGTATTAATTTGTTCTTTATCACATATGTTAAAGGGTGGTCCTACGAATTGGGAGGATCTTAAAAGCAATACCTTAGGGGATAAGGAATTGGGTCGAGTAAAATTATTTTTGACGGGACAAGAACCATGTAAAAATAATAGTAAAGTTTATAAAAAAATTGAAAAGGAATTGTCCGTAGTGGATGATTGTTTGATACGGGGTAATAGAGCCGTGATTCCGTTGAAATTACGGTATAAAATTGTACGATTGTTGCATGCAGGACATCAGGGTCGGGATAAAATGAAATTTTGGGCTCGTGAGTATGTATGGTGGCCTGGAATGAGCGATGATATTGAAAAGATTACAAGGAGTTGTATTCCATGTAATTCGTGTGCCGTTATGCCCCGGAAGGAACCAGGCAGTTATTGGCCGAGACCTGAAAGGCCGTGGGAGCGTGTTCACGTGGATTTCTTTGACTTAAACAAGAAGTCGTATTTTTTAGTTGTTGATGCATATTCTAAGTGGATTGAATATGAAGAGGTTCATGGATTAACTACTAGAATTGTTATCAAATTGTTACAAAGGTTATGGGCTAGATTTGGGATTCCAAAGACAATAGTGTCTGATGGAGGTCCGGCCTTTGTAAGTGAAAGTTTCAAAGATTTTTGTAATGCGATGGAAATTAAACACGTATTAGCTCCACCATATCATCCCAGTTCCAATGGACAGGCGGAGAAAATGATAGCTATCGTAAAAAATTGGATTAAAAAGGCCAAACAAGAAAGTAATGATGTTTGGATGGCCCATTTATATTATAATAATTCCAGAAACCGAGAGGGAATTACTCCGGTGGAGTTATTTTTGGGGAGAAGGACCAGAATGCCGTTGGATTTCTTAAAATCCAAAGATGGAACTGGTGTACCTTCGGTTGATAAGATTGTAATAAAATATCCTGTGGGAAGAATTGTATGGGCCCGTTTGT